AATTTTTGGCTTTCTTTGATCTTTAACTTTGTTATTGCATATGCCTTCTAAACGTTTTGATTTGTTGGTATGTACCTTCTAAAAAATGTCCGGAAAGAATAGACTTCTGGTCATCCACGACCATCAGCCATTCGTTATTGCCAAAAATGTCTACGTCATAAATAAATGGTCCCCAGACTATATGTTCATGGCAATTCTACTTTTTTTTAATAACCGGCAGATATTCAAGAGATTGGCAGCTAAATAATGGTATGAACCGTTGAAAAAGTATTTGTTGACTATGATAACTGCTACCCTCATATCAGGAAAATTATATTAACATGACCTGATCAAATTTTAAACTTGACAACATAGTAAACATTGAGAAATGCCATTTGTACATTTGTATTTTGAACGAAGCCTCTACGAACTTCAAGGCACCATGTAGGGCCTTATTAAATGCTGTCTGTTTTGTATTTCCTCGTTTATAATGCACATTACACTCCTGTAAAGAAAACAATATGCTTCATCAGAAATTATGATGTGGTCTATCAAACATTGGATAATAAGTATTAGTTATTTCTTGAGGCTGTGAAAGTTATATGATTTTAAAATATTAAGATAAATCTTTATACTCTTACAGACAACCAAAAAGCATTTAATATCATTTTGGTCATACACCTCTTCGCGTGCTTTGGTCTTTTGTACATTCTTGGATTTCAAATGTTTGGGTTTTAGTGTTCCTAATGAAGGTCAATCTAAAAAAAAGCGCATCGGACGCGCGCAAAAAAACTAGGATAGTGTTATTTTCATTTGCGTCTTTTGCTGTAAGGTTTTATGAACTAACCTTTGGTGTTTTTTTTTGTAAATACTTTTTTGTTATTATTACTATAATTATGAAGCTAACGCTATTAAAATGTAGTCAAAAAGTATACAAAATTATGATTTTCTTCACAAGAGTGCACAATTATGACATCATTATTTTTATATTTGGCAGATATTGACTTGTAACATTGTTCCTTCAGAAATATTGGAAAACCATTTCGGCTCTTTATTTCAGATTCAGAAAACCTACATACATCATATTTTATAGTAATCTGTTTTTTTAAATTTCAAATAAATCTGTTGAGGTGTTCTCAAGCTATTTCATGCCAATTAAGGAAGGACCTGGATTATATTTAATTCGCTTGATGCTGTCTGCTAATTGAAAGCACTAATTATAAGAAACATCAATCAACATATAAACAAATATAGACAAGACAAGATAAACACTTGATTAAAATCCACCACTTGTTACATATAAAATATACAACATAGTAAAACACAAGTTAACAAGAGCCACTCTATAAGGAGTTATGAGAGACTATAACACATTTTTTTCTTAAAAATATAATACAAATACAAGTCAACTATCACGAGTATAAAATACATTTTCGCTTTAATAAAATTTCATTGCAGATTTTTGCAGCATAAAATACCATATCTTCATTTGTAAAAAAATTCTCATCGACAATACTAGCATGATTAAAAATAACATTACGAATATATGAATATACGGGACAGTTTAACAAAACATGTTTTTCATCTTCTATATTTTCGTAACGACCAGTTTCAATTCTGATGGGCGCTACACCACATCTAAATTTTGCTAAAGCACTCCTGTATCTACCAGGTATATTAAAATGCAAATAATTTTCTACACCATATACATTTTTGAACATTATATATGTATGTAATTTATTTTTATCATTTGACATAATTTTGTCACACCATTCTTCCTTAAATTTTTCAAAAGATACATTTTCTATATTCTTAATTAAATCCTTGTTTAAAATAGCACAAATATTCCATATCAAGTTCTTTAAATAGTTTTTTTTTAATAAGCATACTAGTTTCTAAATAAAAGCTTTCCATGGTGAAATAAAGAACCAGTTTGTGAGGGACATAGATTGATTGCTTAACTTCCAGTGGCAAATATTTTACGCATGTTCAGGACAAGAATAATTTGATAATAAATGCAATAGGTACGTCTTGTAATAGAGGCCGTCCGGGATGAAAGTCGGTGAAATTTGCACTGCCACTTGAAAATGGGGTATTGGATGGGAACAGAAATTTAACCATGCAACAGGTCACCTACAGGCTCCTCAAAAAGTTGTTGCAAGGGTTCTTAACATACAGAGAGTATGACACTCTCTCTACACGAGGCTTCGCATTTAACGTCCCCATTCTTAGCGAACGTGGATGCGTATTCATACATACCGGACAGCCAAACTGACGTGCCACTGTAGCAAGGGTTTTACTGCCGGTCGGAAGTACATCAAGAGTGATCATATTTTTATTCCCCAGACACCCCAACCAAAGAACTCTGGCTAACCCCATTCTGAAATATTCAAAGGGATGAGAATGTACATAAAAACAACAGAACACTTAAAGGTATTTCAGAGATTATGTTAAATGTGGATATTGTATTTAGACACAGAAAGAGACTGACTCAAACTCCTGGGTGAAGGAATAGTTCTCAGAAGGAAAATTATTCCCCTTCTTCCTTGCAATCCAAACTACAAAATCAGCCTCAGAAAAATTAAAGTAAAGAATACGCTATAGTCTGCTGATGGTAGCCAAATACAAAAAGAAATTACAAGTAAAGAAATATTAAAGTAATTACATTCAATGTTTAGTCCCATTTTTTTTAATATTTAATTATCGGCAAATTACGGCCCCTTTTGAAAAATCTGGATCCGCCCCTGGAATTATCTGGTTAGAGTTTCACACTTCGGCCAGAGGGATGAAAACATTTCCTATAAAGTAAAGCCTTCAGAAAGGCCACTTTACAAGTGACTGTCCCCTCTTTTTGGAAAGAAAAAGATAAAAAGAAACAAAAGCCCAACAAGAAAAAAAACACCAAATAAATGGAAGTGACTATAAAGGACAAAAATATGAAGATGACAAACACATAAAAGAAACAACAAATCTAGACAACCAAGAATCTACCAAGGACAATATTTGAACATGCAAAGCAAGCTGTTGCATTTAAAATATAAAAAGATTTAGCGAAAAAAGAAACAACACTTGAACATATAAGACAAAACTGAAAGTATCTCCCAGAGTGCAGAATCAAAAACTAGCTATACTGTTTGAACAGCTCAGGCAAAAAACAATTTAAAGACAATTAGACAAAAACGGATTCACTACTGTAAACAGAAGACACGAATCTCTTACAGAAAGAACATCACCAACTCAACCAGACCAACATAGAAAAAGCAAGACTTCAAAAATCGGAACAAATATTAAGTATAAACATATCTTTAATCGTAAACATAATGTGTTTGTATAATGTATATAGTCGTTTTAATCGATATGTATCTATTACCAAAAGGTTGATAAAACAAATGCTATCTTTATGGCATACACTAGGATTATTTAACACCAACTATGATAATATCGCAGATACTAGCACTTTTGTATTTTATCAACAAAATGTAACACAAATACATTTCCAAAAACGGGTTTTCCTATTATAACTATTTTTAGTAACAAATAAAATATTATTCACAACAAGCATGACATGCATAAAGTATTTAAAGATATAAAAACAACACTAATACTTACATTACAAATCAAATCAAATCAAATGTCTTTTTTCCCAATTAAAGGGCCCATATAGAGCATATAAATCAACACAGATCACAAATTTCATACAAATATCCATATTGATTGTAAATAATTAAAAATGATTAAAATATCATTATAAAAATATATACATCAGGGGAGAGAGCCAGTACAAAGAGGAATAAATCCATTTGTTTACCTTAACTTGTGTCTCTTTTTTCCTGTCTAGTCTGGAAAATTTAATTTAGGTACAGACTAAAAACTGTATAAAAATCTAAATCTTCATTATATGTTCTGATAATTAACGCTTGTTTATGAAGATACTATTAGTAGATAAATGTATTAATTAGAATGTTGCAAAACCATATATATGATGTAGAGAACGTATGACTTTATGTTTTAGAATTTGTTGTATTATTATTAAGCAGTGTGTACATTTACCATGTTTACAGTCATGAAGACTAGTTAATATGTAGTGTGGGTTTATACATTTATGCTGTAATCAAGTGGTTGTCGTTGTTAGCTCTGTGCAAAAACTGTTTTTCGTTTACTTTTATTTTTTTGGCATACATCAGTCCGTTGGTTTTCTCTCTTGAAAAGTTTTATATTTTGTCATTCCTGGTTTTTTCAGCATATACAAGCAAGTCTTAGTCTCGTGTGAGTAGTTGTTTCATAGGCAATCATACCTATTTATATATTTTTTTTTCAAAATTAATTTTGTTTGCAAACTCACCGAGTGATATTTGAAGTATAAATTCTAGGTACTGGCGTTGTTTATAATCTTAATTACGTGTTATAGTGGTTTTTTGTTGTTGTTGTCTTTATATATTTTCAACCTGTATTTAGTCCATTTTTGATAATATCCTTTTGGAGTGACTCGGTATTTATACATCCCGCCATTGTGTTATTGTACTATGGTAACTTTTTGTATTATGTTTATGTGTTTTGTCCATACATGCTATATGCCATTTTGTATTCTTTGTTGACATATTTCTTTGTTTTTATAGATGAGTGATTAAAATTATAACACAATGTTGACTGCTGTACCACAATTTTTGACATGTTTACCTATTATTTATGTTTCAAATTGTTTTGCTCACTGTTGTCAATATAATGGAATTCTATAAAATCAGATATAATCCACCATTTTCTATATAAGGAAATGCTTGTACCAAGTCAGGAATATGAAAGTTGTTTTCCATTCATTTGACGTGTTTGACCTTTTGATTTTGCCATTTGATAAGTGACTTTCCTTTTGAATTTTCCTTGGAATTCGGTATTTTTGTTATTTTACTTTTTCATCAATATATTATATTAATCTCTTTGGCCGTTCCGCCAATAGACATCTCATTTATATATCATATCTTCCTGCATGAGCACTGAAAAGTATTTTTAACTTTTAGTATGGTTCACTTGCTAGAAATCATGTGATGTTTCGTTTGCAATCAATATGTGCATATTTAGTATGTTTTGTCTGAATGTCATTTGAGAGACATATTGAATATAGCTAGTAAGTAGAATTATACATACTTATTGTGCTGCATAAAATGAATTATTGATTAGTTGAACGCAAAATTCTCTTATATTTCAAGTTGTTTAGTTATTTTTTATTTAATTTTATTTAAAAAAAAAATAATAATAATGTACACGCTTACAAGTACACAGCACAAGGCTAGATATTGTGTGTGTTCATGTACAGCTAGCTGTCAGACTTCAGGAGGGGGGATAATATACTGATGATCCCCTTTGAGAATTATGGTTGATGACCTGAAACATGGCCCCCTCTGTTACAATGTTCTAAAAATAAGAGACGTTGACCATAATTAAGAAAAAATTCGGAATAAGCTCCGTAAATGTCAAATTTCACCAATTTTTAGATAAATGTTAAATTTAAATATTTTAAATATCATCCCCAGCCACCAGCATCAGATATTGCTACCTCCGTTACAAAAAAATGCTTGAACACCAAAATTCTTGAAAATCTTGTATCGGAACATTTGCTATATCACACAATGTGGAAGTTGTAAATTTATATTCCTCTTCAATATACCGTCACCAACTGCATGGAGCATACCTACCACCTATATCAAAAATAGTAAAGGACATGGTACAATAAGGGTCATTTTTGGCCCCCTCTTCAATGAATTGAATTTTATAATTTCAATAGACTAGGTATAGAAATTTAAAAAATGACAATTTTTTTTATCAATTTTTGGTTGCCTAATTTGAAACCTGCCATTAATATACTATTATAAACCTTATTGTAAAAAAATGCCTCTTTTCCGTATAAATCTAAATGTATCATTCAATTTGTATAATACATATATGGAAATCTCAAACAGTTTCGTCTGTAACCGGCCGGGTAATTTGTCCCGAAATTTTACATATTCCGAGTATTTTTTACTTGAAAAGAAAAATAATTTAATTATCTTTTGTCGCTTTAATTTATTAGTGACTCAACCGGAGGTACAATTGCAAAACGTTTGTGTATCTTGTCTACCAAATGCACATGTTTTCACCATGTAAGGTGTTTATCTAAATCTATAAAAAAAAATCAACCTTGATAAAAAGATAAAAATAAACAATTTGAAAAATGATGAAATCGATAAAAAAAAAATCAACCTTGATAAAAAGATAAAAATAAACAATTTGAAAAATGATGGCAAAATCTTAAAACTAAAAATCATCAACTATGGAAGTATTCTTTCTTTAGTTGAGGGTGTCTTGTAGTCTTATTACTAAACTAACATTAGTGTTCATTGATTGGGGACCTGCTCTTTCTCTGACCAGCTGTGTATGCTGCCCATTTTTTTTTTACCAAAAGGATGGAAATATTAAATTATATGTTATTGAGGTACCTCCTTATAAACGGTTCTCTTAATATTTTTTTACGAATTAAGTAATAGGAATCTTTTTTAAAAAGATAAGTCTTTCTGTAAAGAGAAATCACAAATAGCAGTTACGTACATATATAACACACTAGATTGATATAAATTGTCTCAATAAAGTGAGGATATATATATAAACACGATACTGTTGGATAGTCAGAAATGTAAAGACGGTAGCTAAAATTTGCAATAAGTAATTAAGGAACATCCATGACATCAATACAATCGTCCTGAAAGCCATTTATCTTCGTCATTTCAACTCTGCTTCATTGGCAACCATACCACATCTCCATATTTATATATACTAACAATGGCTTTGCCCACAACAACAGTGCTCTAGTTTTGACATATGTCATACATTTACATAAAACAAGTCAACTGAAAACATTTAGTTTCAATGGACAATTTATCCAATAATATTGTCCCATAAGAGCTTATTATTTTTAAATTACAAAGTTTAACCTAGTTCTCTGTATTAAGCTCTTCCGAGTCCGTACAATTCGGATGTTTTCGTTTTAACTGTTTCTGCTTGTTACATAGGCGTAATGTGTCTTAAGACTTGTAATTTGCAATTGTTTGTCTGCATGTTTCTCTAAATTTTTGACATTTTCTCCCCTTGTGATCCATATAAGTCACTACGATATTCTTCCATTGCTTGTTAAACATCATGTTTCCAGTTGACTGGTCGACTGTAAGAGAGATAAATGTTACACGTCAAGTTAGCAATATTTCAAAATTATACAATAAAAACATTATATTAAAAGAGGATGGACTAAGAGTGGGAGGAGAATGTTCAAATAAATGTGGACAAGGTCAGTAATGGCAGTTTGTGGTCAACTGCGGTTATATATAGACACACAAGTGATAACATTTTAACATTGTGCATAATTGTAAAGAAATCCCGATTAAACAAATAGTGCAAATTATTACGGATATTTTTACTTATGGTTTGCATATAAAAGGCAAGTAATTTAATTTTCTACGATTCGTGACAGGAAGTCTGTATGAGATAAGATATAAGATAACAAGTATTTAATTAATGAACTTTTTAAATTGACATGACAAACATCAATGTAGTTTCCTGTGGTTTTTTTTCCAAGCTAGACGGATACGGTCAAGCCGCTTTTGTCTACTTAGAGAGCGTGTCGGGAAAGCAGTAATATGCCTTAAAAAGTTTTCCTGTAATTAAATGTTCTTTAATTGATCGGTGTTCTGTTTTTTATATTTAGTCTAAATGGACAGTTGCAGATATCCAGTGTAATAGTATTCTTTTGTTTTAGTCCAAAAATTAACATGATCTTTTGCCAAAATTGATAAATGCTGTTTTTTAAATATAAGCAAAAAATCGTCCTATTTTTCAGCAACCAGTTAAGATGTATAAGCTAACAAGTATAAGTTGAATGAGCTTTTCAATTTACATGACCAACCTTATTGTATATTATAATTCCCTTATTTGTTATTGTAGTTAAAGAATACCTCGTAAATTTTCATTCCGAAACAAAACTGCCTCAATTTTAGTCTTGAAAAATTGTATTAATATCTCCCCAAGGGTGACTGGGGAATAGAAATGTATCTATGATATGATTATTTATGGTCAGTTTGATCTTCTTCAGAACGGTAGTAAAACCCTTGCCAAAGTGGGGGTCCGTTTGGCTTTGTGGGATGTACAAGTACGCAGCCACGTCCGATCAGAATAGAGATATTAAATGCAATACGCTCTCTGCACGTTAAGAACCCTTGCAACACCTGAGCGGTGCATAGGTGGCATGTTGCAAGGCAAAATTTCTGTCCTTATATCCGATATATACTCATTTTCTAGTGGTAGTCTAAATTTTCCTGACGTTCATCGCAGATGGCCTCTATTACAAGACCTACTTGTATTTATTGTTGAATAAATCTCGTCTTGAATTAGCATGAAATTTTTGCAACTGAACTTTATGCAACTAACTATAAATCAATTAATCTCAATAAATTGACGATAAAGACGATATGTATGGAAAGTCAGAAATGTAAAGACGGTAGCTAAGAATTGCGATAAGTAATACAGGAACCTCCATGACATCATTAAAATAATCCTCAAAGCCAATTATTTTCGTCATTTCAACTCTGCCTAACTGGCAACCATACCACATCTCTTTGTTTTTATATACTTACAATGCCTTTGCCCATATCAACCGTGCTCCAGTTATGACATAGGTCATACATTAACAAACAGCAAGCCAACTGGAAACATTTAGTTTCAATAAATAATTTATCCAATGAAATTGTCTAGTAAAAGCATTATTATTTTACATATCTATAGTTTAAGCAAGCTCTTCACAGTTCGTACAATTCATATTTTTCTTTCTGTTTGTTACATAGGCATAATGTGTCTTAAGACTTGTAATGTGCAATTGTATGTCTGAATGTAGGTTGCCTTGCTTTGTTTTCGACATTTTCACCCAATTGTTACACAGCCTCTACGATATTCTTCCCTGGCTAATTGATGTTCATGTTTGACTGGTCGACGGCATGAGGGGTCAGTGTTACACGTCAAGCTAGCAATTATTTTAAAATTATACAATAAAAAGTAAAATAACAAAAAATACCGAACTCCAAATAAAACTCAAAACGGAAAGTCCTTTATCAAATGGCAAAATCAAAAATTCAAACACATCAAACGAATGAAAAACAAATGTCGTATTCCTGACTTGGTACAGACATTTCCTTATGTAGAAAATGTTGGATTAAACCTAGTTTTATAGCTAGCTAAACTTCTCACTTCTATGACAGTCGCATAGAATTCCATTATATTGACAACAATGTGTGAGCAAAACAAACAGATATAGGTAAAAATTTTAAAAAATAAGGTTTAGCAGTCAACATTGTGTTATAATCTTAATCACTTTAAAAACAAATAACTATAGACGAGTGACATTAACCATAAAATCATACTTTTAATGCACCCACCTAACATACGGCTAAATGATATACCATTCGAAAGCATATCATTTGCCCTATCTTTTTTGCCCGGTAGTCAAATATTCGTACGGTGCAATTTCCGTGAAATCACGATGAAAGGTCAAGGTCGCATACTTTCTAATTTTACAAGATGTCAGCATTTTTGGATACTCTGTCTTCTGAACAATAATGTTTTGTATGGAAATATGAAAATCTGTTAGAACAGATGTTAACAGTCACTTATCAAACGCACTTTAAAATATAAGTGACGGATTTTTAATAAATAGTGCCGTTTTCCAGAAATTCGAGTAAAAATGATAAAATTGCGTTGAAACCAACATTTTTGTCTGTTATTCATTTGTAATTCACCATAGAACCAAATAACATATTCTATTTAGTGCTGAGGAAGTTTTTGACATCATCAAATTACTACAATTACCTTTCATGATAATTAAACAGCCAATTATAACAACTCGTGCAGTTGGCCAAAATACCACCATCTGCTAAAAAGATAGCTTTTTGCTGTTCTATGTTAACAAAATTTGTATGTACCAATCTTTTAAAGCTGATTAATTTCTTGAAATACATGTAAATTGACACATACTGCAAATCTATTTTTTTATTTGAAAATTCTAGCAGTTCACTATAAGTACACTTTCAATTCCTGAGTACTAGTAGTTAA